TGTATCTCTCTGATAAATCTACCTTCACTCAACTGTGGCTCGCTCTTGAATTCCTTCCTGCGCAAAGCCAAGGACCCACACTTGGCAGGGCACGTCCCAGGGGCTCAGCCGAAGCCCGGGACACAGCCCTCCTCACGCCCCACATCTGTTTTCCTGCGTCATAACCACTAGGGCCAAAGAAAAAGTGGTTAAGTTTGAGCTCGTATACGTTTTGGCCAAAACAAATGTAGTCAAATCAATCAAGTAATCTGATAGTGTGTCAGGACGTGTTTGGCTACAGAGGTCTCCCTGAATCAACGAAATGAGAAATTCAGTGGCACACAATTTCCAAAACAAAAATTAGACAAAACTTGAGGCATAATTTCTGAGTACTCTGGTAGCATGTGCAGTGGGGAAGTTTGGGAGTTCTGCTTGGCCAGTTTCTAAGTTCAGTCTGTAAAAACTAGTATAATCTCGCTAATCTCACAGGATTTTTTAAAGTCAGTAAAATAATACATTTGAAAGCATCTATCACAATAAATGACCAATGTTTTTCCTGTAAGACTATAGAAGTGAAAAGTGGTTACACACTGAGATTTCTGTCTTACACTTGAGTATTAGCCTCTGGAAAATAGGTTGTCATTTTTAAACAATTTGCTTTAGGACAGAATTTCCACATGTAGTGTTTGAAACACTCACCAAGTACCTCTGAATGTGCTTCCTGTACAGCCATGTCAATACCACTGATTCCCATCCACAACTTACCAGACAGTAATCCGACACTCTTGCGTGGCCATCGTGTTGGTGGTGGCATGCCACAGTCTGAGAGGGAACCTATGCCTGGGTCCCTTGGCGTGAAAGCCACACAGTGGGAAGGTAATGGAGACGTTCGCTCACACAGAATTGGAGAGAAGAAAGGGGTGGTGCTGTCTCCTGTCCCACGGCTACAAGGTCCATAGCTGGTCATGAGATAGAAAGTCAAGGTTCCTGCCTCGCAGCCACCAGCGTCCTCACTGACGGACTCACAGGTCAGTCATGCAGTTACCCCAGGGCACTTCCTGCTGAGAGAGAAGTTGGCTGACACCTTACTGTCCAGAGACTGAACATCTGCATGTAGAGAGGTATCCCTCAAAGGGCAATTTTGTCTCATTCACTAAATTCTATTGTCCACTATTCCTTCCTTCCCTTGTGATGTATATTTGTTCCCTTTTGGGCATATTGCTTATGGAAACATGGAAGTCACGGGCTGGTTGAAAGCCACACAGATAACAAGGCATCAGCGGTTGAACTGTGCTCCCCTCCAAGTTCATTTGCTTAAGTCCTCACCCCCAGTACCTCAGAACGTGACCTTATTAGGAAAGAGGATGACCTACTGGATTCTGTTGCAGATGTAATGAGCTAAGTTAGAATGAGGTCACGCTGGGGTGGTGTGGATCCTAATCCAATGTGAGTGGTGTCCGTAGGAGAAAAGTGGGCATAGCTATGCACGCAGGGAGATGCCGTGTGAGGATGGAGATCCATATACTGCTTCTGCAAGCCAAGGGAAGCCAAAGATGGCCAGCAGACCACAGAAGCCAAGGCAAAGGTCTGAAACAGATTCCCAGCCCCCAGAAGGAACCACCCTGCCAACGCCTTGATCTTGGACTTCTAGCCCCCAGAACTGTGAGACAGTGAATTTTTCCTTGTTACGGGAGCTGTGAGAAGAGAGATCTCATTCCAGTTCTGCCACTTGCCAGCTGTGTGATTGTGGACAAGTGTCCTCACCTCCAAGTTGCCTGTGCCTTGAAAGCAGTGTCAGAGCAGAGACAACAAGGAACCACAGAAGTGAGCCCCTTCCTCAGTGTGTGGTTGTCACACAAGGCAGCTGCCAGCGGGGGATTCCGTTTCCCAGCCTGCTGATGTCCGGAGCGACATCCTCACCAACACAATGTGAATGGAAGTGATTGTGACTTCCTTCCAGTTTTTAAGAAATAAGTGTTATATACAATAACCAAACCAAGAAATAGAAACAACCTAAATGTCTATTGACAGATGACTGGATAAAGAAGTTGTGGTCTATTTACACAATGGAATACTACTCAGCCATAAAAAATACTAAAATAATGCCATTTGTGGCAACATGGGTGAGATTATCATTAAGTGAAGTAAATCAGACAGACAAAGACATATCATTTATATGTGGAATCTAAAAAAAGATACAGATGAACTTATTTACAGAACAGAAGCAAACTCACAGACATAGAAAATAAAGCTTTGGTTACTAGGTGGGTAAGGGGGTGGAGAGAGATAAATTAGGAGTCTGACATTTGCAGATACACACTACTATATGTAAAATAGATAAAACAACAATGTCCTACTGTAGAGCACAGGGAACTATATTCACCACCTGTAATGGCCTATAATGGAAAAGAATATGAAAAGGAACATATATACATAATATATATGAATTACTATGCTGTACACCAGAAATTAACACATTGTAAATCAACTATACTTCAATTAGAAAAAATAAAAATAGAGCAGAAATACCCTTGCTGCCCGGCAACTGTACTGCAACTAATTAATTAAAGAGAGGGAAAAACCCTCGGGCTGAAAAAGACAAACGGGGTAGGAGTGCCTGTGGGTCCTTCCCGAGACCCGGGCACTCCCGGGGGAAGGTCTGGCTGCAGCCCCGCGGGCCTGCCGTGGCCCAGTCGAAGCCGGTAGGCGGGGGCCACGGGTGGCGGCGACAAGCAGGCACCTCCCCCGCGTGCGGACGGTCTGCGCCTGGGACAGGGGTCGGGAAGGCCGGCCAGGCTCACGCCGCGCAGCCGAGACCGCAGCCCCCACCCCCGGCCGCGGCGCGCTGCGCCCTCTACCGACAGCGCAGAGCATCGCACCGGGCGGCCGGCCGGCGGGGCAGGGGCGCAGCCGGCGGCTGGGGGCCGTGGGGCGACCGCAGGTGGGACAGCGGCTGCGGGGCGCGCGCGCAGTGTGCCGTCTCTGTGGCGCGTGCTGCAGCGTGTCCTCGCTTAACTGTGTGGACACACGAAGCGTAAACCTGGACACGGGCACGTGCTTCCCGGGGCCGCCAGCGGCGAGGGGAGGACGCAGAGTGGCGGTGCAACTGACGCCTTCTGAGAGCAGCTTTCCGTGCGGTTTGGACGTTCGGGCCGTGTGTTTCACACGTCCACAGACAGAATGAAACCGAGAGCGGAAACGGCAAAGCCCAGCTGGTCTCAGCGTG